TGGAAATACATATGTATGTAGGTACATTAGAGTGCATCACTCTCCGCTGAAAAAAATCGATACTGTTTTTCCATCGGAAACATACAAATATTTCGGGAAAATATTAAAATTTACGTGAGCTGGACCTAAAAAAAATCTAGTTTTTTGATATCTAAATAAGATTAGACAAATTAAAAAAAAAATCGCCTCAGATGATAGTAGAGTTTAACTTAACAGGCTTACATAAGAATGTTGAAAAATTTTATCAACGGACTCAAAATAACTAGAGTTTTGGAGTATGTATTTGCAAATCGGTCTAGCTCAGGTAATTCATAATATTTTTCCGAAATATTTTGGAGGAAGTCTTAAAATATAATACATTTTATAGTTCTGGTGGAAACACTGCACCCTAATGTACATTTGTACTTTCATGCGCTTCAACTAACAATTGCATTAACTGTGCTGGTACATACATATTTTCGTCTAGTCAGTGCTAAAAATACTACCTGCGAAATATTGATTAGAATTTTATCATTTTCATCGCAAAAAAAACACAAAAACAAAAATGAAAAATACAAAAAAAAGTACATACAACTATAATTTCCTCGCTGATTTGTATGTATGACATACCACCTTACACCTTATGACGGCAATGCTTAATAAGGCGAGAAAATCAAGAAAATAAATTCGGCACCAAACAAGCGCCAACGATCACTACTTGTTCGAATATTTTGCGATCAATTATTAAAGTGCTGAATTGCGAATTGCCATTCTCTGGTAATATAAAAATGCAAAAAAAAAAAGAAAATAAATAAATTAAAAATTAAAAAGTAAACATGAGAGAGTGTGTACATTAATATGGGTTGTATGTACATATGTATGTACCTACATATGTAAATAGGTGTGTATGAATGTAGAATGAGCATATGTACACAAAAGTATTTCCTTATGTCAGCGCTAGCGAATGCACTGTGTGCACTGCTGCAGTCTTATCGCTAATGGAGCAAAACCAAAAAATAATAAGAAAATTGTATGCATGTAAATACATATACTTACATTAGGCTGGGTCATTTTTTATTTTAATAAATCGCATGGTATTTCCTGATTCTGCAGATAATTCTATGAAAAATTATAGAGGAAATCTTGGGTCGGAAATGAGTTTCGAGCCGGTGCATTTTTAAATAAAAACATTTCCTTTTTACGATAATATTTTTTTCACCTTTTCTTAAAACTTTTATTTTGTATTTAAGTTTCTAACATTTTTTTTTATTTGCTTGAAACATTTTTAAGACAAAGTAAATACATCTGTTTTTTTGAATTTTAAACTTAAAAGATTAACAAACAGTAAAAATTGACGGTTTCTGTATTTCAATAACAAAAACTCTTCCATACAAAGACGACTTTTTATTTCTTTTTATATTTTTCTAACGAAAAAATGCCAAAATCCCTTTGTATTGATAAAATTAAATGGACTACGAAACTGTGTACTCAAAATCCATCTAAAATTTTTTACATTTTTACCAAAATTTTAAATTTTTTTTGAATACATATTGCACAAACTTTGAAACTTGGATTTATAAGTAAAATATATATTTACAAAAAAAAAATAAATAACAAAAAAAAACATTCAGTCTCATTGCGGGAGTCGTGTCGAATGCAAGTCGTTGTTCGAGAGTCAAATCGTATCGAAAATTTCATGTCATTGACTAAAATTTCGAGTCGACTAGTGTATTAAAACGGAAATACTTGGCAGCACTGCACAGTTTTCTACGATTTTCGTCGTTTACTTATTTCAACACGACAGTAGACAATGCCAATGTTGTCGAGTCGTACAATTTAGCCTACTTTACGACTTACGCAATGAGGCTGATTTTAAAAACTTGTGATTATGTGGTGCGATTCTAATTTTGACACAGGTTGTATAATTGCATGGTAAATATGGTAAATCAATTAAAAATGTTATAAACTAAAATATGTATAGGAATTTTGTATCCATTAGTTGTAAAAAAGGTGAACACTTTGTAAAACCGGCATATAACGATAAAACGAAATTTTGAGAAAAAGGAAAACTCAAAATTTCTTTTAAAAGTTAGGCTAGCAACTCATTTCCGACCTATTCTTTCTTCTACATTTTCTCTTAGAATTAACTATAGAAACAGAAAATACTATGCGATTCGTCGAAAAACTTTCGTCCGAACAATTTGACCCTCCCTAATATATGTACATACTAGAGGTATACGCCGCCGAGCCACGCCGCCGCCGCCGCCGTTTTTTGTCATTCCTCACGCGCCGCCGCCGAGTTACGAAAATATCGGCGCGGCAGCGGCGGCGGCGGCGTTCGGCGCCTAAGGAATTTTGTACAAAATTTTCATGATGTATGTACATTGAATACATCGTTTGAAGGAACTAAATATTACTTGTATAAAAACACAATTTTACGAAATGAAAATTACATTTTTAAATTAGTTTTTTTTTGCATAATTTGGACCACTGGACAAGAGTATGATCTCCTTTATTTTTTCCAAAATAGCATAACTTAGAAAAAACATAGGTAACATATTTTTTGACGACAGCGTTTATTACAGTTAAATTAGGGTCGAATACTGGTAATCTAACGATTTTTTCCGCAGTAGACAATTCTTTTCTATACTTCAAAGATACTACTTTTTTATACACCTACTACAACAACAAGAAACTTCTAACACATCAAAAACTTTAGCTCCAATATCTCAGAAAGCAGTTTTAATAGAAGCGGCCTCTTTGCATCTAACTCCTCAATTATTGAAGATAAATCAAAGACAAATTGATTTTTCTATGTATTTTTTTAATATTTTAAACAAACACTTTTTTGCTAATATTTACATTCGTAAGTTATTTTATTCTGGGGTCCCACATACGTATACAAGTACTAGGTGGCTGTGTGAAAATTACGTTAGCATTCCTTGGTGGTGGTCAAACCCCAGGAAGGTTTTGCTCCCTCGCATCGCTATGTTTTCTACACAGGGTTAAAGTTCCGTCTTTATGGTAAACATTAGTATTATTTTTCATTACATTTGGTTCTCCTTAGAAAAATTTGGCGCTTCATATTTTAGTGGAAGTTTTAACCATCTATAAGCCATTTTTTTCAACAGTGGGTCAAAAAGTCCCATTCTGGTTCGAGTTGATAAGACTATTGCAAAAATTTATTGATTAAATAGTACATACGGATCTGTAGAGAATATAGAGATCCGTGTGTGTATGTATGTATATACCTCAGACCTTCTTCTGTTCACCCATCAATCAGCGCCAGACACTCAACATTTTAATTCAAGTAGGAAGTAACAGTATTTAAATTTAAAACTAATTCAATAATGAAGTAAATAGAATTATAATAATAGAATAATTGGCATGGCGAATGCCTAACGCTGACGAGTTGAAATGATAAGATTAGTAGCTCTTTGAAATCTACCTTATGAGAAGTAGCGCCGGCGTTACCAGACGCGCCGGCGTCGCCGCCGCCGCCGAATCTTTTTGACGTTGACCACGCCGCCGCCGCAAAGCCTGTCGGCGTAAACCTCTAGTACATACACATATTCCTATTGGAAAGGCAATCAAAAATAACGAATTATTCGCTAGCGTTCCTCCTGCTGCTTCCGTGAATTTCGCGTGGGATTTTTTTTTATACATACATTTGATTTTCGCAATTACAAATGTTTCTTCTCATACTAATTAGCTTAGTATTTGCATGAGTGTATGTGCTTGTGTGTGTGTGTCAGCCGGTTCTCAAGCATCTGATCGTGCGCTTCTCGCCGCCAACACCGTCCACTTGTGTGTAGTCGCCAGCTGCCAACTACATCTTACTCGAAATCGCCATGCGCGCCGCATGCAACCCTTCCGCTCACTGAGCGCGACGACGACGCTGATGCCGACGTCCAATGAATACGCCGCAATTAGCGCACGATTAGAATACTGGCAAAGCAGGAGCAGGAGGAGGAGGCGAACGTCACTGCGGGGTTTTATAGGCATTCAGCCATACATACATATGTATGTACGTACGTATGTATGCAGTAGCAGGCAGGCGTCCGCTAGATTTGCTGCTTTTTCCTTTCCTGGTTTTGATTCTGTTGTTGGCCACTGCCCACATCAGGCAAAGCCAGCAAAGAAAAACGCTAAGTACTAAAGCAATATCAACAGACAGCAGCAACAACAACAACAATAACCGCAGCCACAGAAACAGAAGCGAAGCAAAGCAAATACAATAAATTAATTTCACTTCCGCATTGCTCCACAAATACAGCAACAACAATAGCAACACACAGCAACGAACGAACGTTCGTATGGGCCAACAGCAATAAGTGTGCTTTTACACAGTTCAAGTATTGAATTCAATTCTGCTCGGACATGGAAGAGAGGGGGTGAGAAGAAAAGGGACGAGTACACATGCGTCTGTACCGTCAAGTCGTTTCAACTTTCTTGCTTTGCTTTTGGCATTTTCGTTGCTTCCCATTTAAAGAACCAAAGACTTGAATTCAACAGAATTGAAACGTGTAAAAGCAAATAAAAAACACAAAAGAGAATGAGTAAGAATTGCTTTCAAGTACTTGAATCATGTAAATCAGGTGTAAGAAAGAGCACACGAATGAGCGAGCACAACAGCTACGATGGCGACGACGAAATACGACCAAATACTACTAAGTATAAGCGCATGATGCGTAGGGGTGGAGGGCCGGCGGAGGAGGCGCGAAAAAGTGCTGCTGACTGATGTTGTCATGCGCGTCGCAGCAGCAGCAGCAGCTAAGGAACTACTAAGCACTATTTCGAGTTGTTGAAAAGTATGGCCCCGCCGCCACCGCGCAGCCCACTTGCGTAACAAAAACTTAAGTACGAACCAGTGATGGAAAAGTAGGTACAATTGTACTTTTTTCGGCTCTTTTTCAACATGAAAGTACATTCGGTACATTGCTTCCATTTTAAGTACATTTTAAGTTTGGCCAAATTATTTGTCCAGGAAATTTGTATGCCGATTTTCTTTTGCCAAGTGGATTTTGGTTAAACATATTAAAACATAGAACTTTTTGATAGTGTGCCATTGGGAATGAAACATTTAATAGCATGTCATTGTGAACGAGATATGTGAAACGAAGAAGTAACTAGCTTTTATGTGCGCGCAATTTGAATTAATAATTAATGAAAGCCGACAAATTAGAGAAACTGCAATGGATAAGTAAGTTTCAAACCGTTTTTTTAATACAAACTATTTCATTTTTGACGAAGTTTATACTATTTTCAGTTGGATTGTTCGCAAGAAACGTGCAAATGCAGCTGCAGGCAATGATGAGAAGTAAGTGTGACAAAGTTCAACTAGCGCAAAAAAATTTACCGATAGCATTTTTCTCATATTTAAGCAATAACGAAGAAAGCAACGTAGTTTCCGTGGCGAAAAAGAAAAAGTATGAGATGAAATTTAAGAGGGAGTGGGCATCTAAGTACAATTGGCTCCAAGAAGACTCTACCGCAAAGCAAGGTAAGAGGTGCATGATATGCGGTGTTCCAATTTACGGCAATATGTTTCACATCGATCGGCATGCAAATTCAGACCTCCATAAAAAAAATGCTAATATTGCTAAAGCAACCTTAAAAATTTCGAGTTTTACTAAGCCGAATAGCGAGGAAATGGAATTAAGTCGCTCAGCAAAGGCAATGGAGATTCGTTTGTGTATGTTCGTTGCTGAGCACAATTTGCCATTTACTGCTTTGGGCCATTTGGCATAATGTATTAAAACGGTAAAAGATTCACGCATAATTTCAAACCTGAGCATAAATAGACATAAGGGTCAAAATATTATAAAGTCAGTCACTGGTCCTGAAAACTGCAGACAAATTTCTGAAATAACAAAACAACAATATTACTCCGTGATCATTGATGAAAGCACTGACATTTCCATGGACAAAAACTTAGCAGTTATAATTAGAGTTTTTACGAACAAATGTAGAGATAGATTTTTGGACTTTGTTCAAGTGTCTGATTCTTCTTCCGCCGGAATTTTCAATGCCCTTTTAAAAGTTTTGAATGATCATGATATTCCGTTGAGCAATCTATTGGGATTTACGGCAGATAATTGCGGTGTCATGATGGGCAAACGAAATGGCGTCCAAGCAAAATTAAAAGAAATTTGCCCTAAATCTTTGTTATTGGCGATGTATGCCACAACCTTAATCTATCGTCCGAGGCAGCTGCATCAGTTCTTCCACAAGAAATAGAAAAGTTAATTCGCTCTATAAATCACCATTTCTGTCATAGCGCTAGTAGAAAAATAGAGTTTGAAAAATTTCAAGAAGATTTTGGAAGTGCGGTTCATAAGATTTTGCGATTTAGTTCAACACGATGGCTTTCGCGGCAGGTAAGTTTTCTTTTTAATAATAGTTGTTCAATACATTTTTTTATTTGAAGTATTACATTATGATTTCAGATTGTAGTTGAACGGATATTGGAGCAGTGGAGTACTTTACGATACTTCTTCGGTTTATGCAATTTCGAAGCAGGATTTGGCAATGAAAGTAATAAGTTTATTGCAAGTACCCTTTCAGATTCTAATATAAAACTGTACTTCTATTTCTTGTCGTACGTTCTTAAAGTTATAAACACTGTTAACATAGAAATGCAAGCGGAAGAGTCACACATTCATGTTTTATATCCCCGCTTGACATTTCTTTTTAATCAAATATGCCGAAATTTTATAGCGAAAGAAAATATTTGTACCAATTCAATATATTCATTGAATTTAGCCAACCACATACCTATTGAAAACATTTTTTGTGGAACGGAAACTGAGCTGTTTTACACTGACCAAAACCTAACAGCATCGGAAATTTTTCAATTTAAAAATAACATTTTGAAATTTTATATTAAATTTTGCGATGATTTAAGAAAAAGAATAGATTTTAATAATGAAATTTTAAAACTCTTACCGTCAATTGCGCCGAAGGAAGCACTATCTGGTAATATTAATAGCATTTTACCACTGATTTTAAAATTGTTTCCCGAAACTGAATTAAAAAAAGCTGAACAAATTAACACCGAGTATCGAGCATTGGCGGATTATGCAGAAATTAAAAAAATCGAAAACCTTCCTGTATCTGAATTTTGGACTGAAGTCGGCAGAATAAAAAATGAACTAAATCAGCCAGTATTTTCAAATATATTTCGCGTTGTTCAGGGTTTGCTTGCTTTACCACACTCCTCTGCTTGTATTGAGAGAATTTTTTCAATTCAGAACCTAGTTAAAACAAAGTGTAGAAATAAACTTAGGACTTAATTAGATGCAATGAAAGTTCTTGTTTTGATTTGAAAGTGGAGACTTTACTCGGCTACCGTCTTCAAAATAAAAACCTTAATGAAAATGAATTAATTGACTAAGTTCTATACCGAAAAAAAATATGCACCAGCTTTTTATATTGAAATAAAAAAATATTTTGAGGCCGCTCAAAGCGCTCAAAGTTTTACACGTATATTTTATTGGGAAAAACAATTTTTCGTAGCAATGATAGAAAATACATATATATTTTTAGATCAGTAACCTCTGTTTCCGTTCAGGAGACTTCAAAAAATAATACCGAATTATTAATTTAATCTTTTTTTAATATTAACTATTATTTATAGATTCCACCATAGGGGACCCATAAAGAATCGTTAATATTAAAAAATATATAAACAATCCGGTAGTATTTTTTGACGTCTCCTGAAGAGAAACAGAGGTTACAGATCTAAAAATATATATATATTTGCTATCATTGCTACGAAAAACTGTTGTTTCCCTAATATAATATATGTGAAGAACTTTGAGCGCTTTAAGCTACCTCAAAATATTTTTTGATTTCAATATAAAAAGCAGGTGCATATTTTTTCGGTATAGAACAATCCTTGGGGTGAGAGCATTAAAATTCCGACTTTAAATTTTTTTGGACCATCCTAAGGTACATATATAAAACGCATAGCGTAAAATAACGTATTTTATCTAAGTTATTTAATTTTATGTTTACAAAACTATGCAATACAAAGTACAAAAATGGAATAGTACAAATAACTGTATATATATATGTACGCTTTAGCACTTGCAATGTGTTTTTCTTTCAATAAAGGCTGTATATACATACATATGTACATATAAAAGTGTCTTCTTTTTTTAGGTACATTGGTCCGCTTTTAAGTACAATCTTCTTGTCATATTAAGTACAATTTGGAAAATTCATTTTCCATCCCTGGTACGAACATAAAAGTTTCTCAATATGGACTTGTCGCATGCGCGCGAGTGTCGTGCGGCAGTTGCAATAAGCGCTCCTCTCTGTTTGGCGTACGCTGCTGGGTCAGTTGTGCGCAGGGTTGCCACTGACGAAAAAAAATATTTACCACCCACTTGAAAAGAATCTACCAAATCTGGGGAATATTTACCAATAACTTTTTTAAAATTATTTTAATAAACACTATAGTTTTGTTATTTTTTATTTATTTTAATTAAAACTGTAGATTTTTTTTTAATTTTTTTTTAGTTATTTCAATAACAAAACTCTTTTTAAGAACTTTTTATTTAACTAGTTATACGGTATTTGAGTCATATTATTGGCATATTCTCAGTTTCCTTCAACCAAAAGCGGAAGTGATGAAACTAAAGGCAACAGTGAAACTTCTTTATTTAAAAAACTTCAACTCGAGTTGTTATGACAAATATATTGACTCAAAAAAGTGATTTTTTTTTAATATTCGCACTATTTTTCGAGTAAAATTTTTTTATTGCTTTAACTAAATCCAAAAAATCGAGGATTCAAACTATATACAATATATAGAAAAATTCCAAAAATTTTCGTCTAAATTTCGAATTTTTTACTCTGAATTTTTAGAACAATCTAAGGTTTGGAGTTTTGAAGCAAATACTATTTGAGTGTAGCCAACAATGTGCTGCATAAAATTCCCGTTGATTTTTTTATTTTTTTTCCATTGATAAAAAATGGCGTTGATTTTTTTTGCGAACAATCATAGTTACATACCTGTCAAATTTTTCTTTATATTTAAATAATCATTTAAAATATTTAGGCAATTAAAAGCTCCTCGGGATTCCAGTAAAATTAGTTTTGAATGGAGCGCGATATGTTCGCCTTATATCGATATATATTTATACGTATGTAAGTATATAAAAAGCATGCAAAGAAATGTATAATATATTTAAAGATAAATACGAAAAATAAATCGGGAACAGAAAGTTCATCAAAAATCTACCAAAATGAGAAAAAATTTACTTTTTTACCAACCCAAATTTTTTCTACCAATTTTGGTAACAATTTACCAAAGTGGCAACCCTGGTTGTGCGTTCGGTGCAGTTTGTTAGCCGCTCAGTTAGACTAGTGATCGGTTACATATGTATGTATCGGCTAGCGGCCTAGTCGGGCATGAAGCCCACAAGGCATGATTGCTTTGTTCGCGGTATGTGGTCCGAAGTTTCATAGGAACTAATATAAATTTGTGCTTGATATGTACGTATGTATGTATGTATATTAGGGTAATCCTTAAAATCAAATGAACGATTTTCTTCAGTCTCACCCCCTTAATCGGTAATACCACGGTCACAGATATCGCATATAAATTTTTGGTCCACATTGGATACGGTTAAGGCGTGTCCTACAGGGGGAAAAGTGCAGATTCCTGATGGAGACTAAAAAAATTCAAATAAATTTTTTGTTTAATCTAATACCCAACATGGATACTACCATAGTCGAAGATATCACATATAAATTTTGGTCCCAATTGGAGTCGGTTAAGGCGTGTCGCAAAGGGCACAAAGGCCAGGTGCCTCTACGGACTCATACAAATTCATTTTTTTTTTTTCATTTAATACCCAAACTCTATGCTACTAAACTCGGGGATATCACTCATAAATTTTGGTCCCGATTGGAGTCGGTTAAGACGTTTTCATAGATTAATCTGGACTTTGACCTCTATGGTATATTCGACTATAGCAGCACCGATGTAGGGTTACGGCTTAGGAAATCTGCTTCCTACATTTAAGGACCACCCAAATGTATATAGATACATATTTATGTATTTTTACATTTGTGTCCGAAACGCTGATGATGGCATTCCTTCCTTGTTCGTCTGAAATAGAATACTTATACGGTGTGCAAGTTTGATGAGTCGTTGATGCAGTTCTTGGCTTTGTAATTTATAGGTTTCTTGTTTAGTTTAGGTTAGGCAGGGATAAACTAGGCTACAAATTCCGAGTCATGTTCAAGAACTCTAGATATTTGTGACCTGGTCTACGAAAAGGGAGCTTACGTGCGAAAAAAGTTTTCTGTGAAAAAGCTGTTAAAAGGGAAAATCATCTCATCTTCCATCCGAATCAACCAAAAAGTGAAAATTGATTTTTTTGACACCTAAGCCCCCTTTCCGTAGACCAGGTCACATATGAAGAAAATATTATCATTCAACGAGATAAGCCTTCAGAATCCGTTCTTTCCCGGCGCAAAAGAGGTATTTTCTCTGGCAAGATGATTAAGAAGAGTTAGGCGTCAGGCTTAAAATCGAACTCCAAACTGGCAACGCTAAGGACACTCCGGTCTGGGTGCACCTCGTCAGGCTGCCGTATAACAAAACCAATATAGCGCGCATACAACCCTAAAAGAACACAGAATTTGTTTAAAAGAATCTCAGACCTAACGTAGCGAGGCTAGCAGCGATACTTGCTGGGCATTAGCTGGTTGGCAACAACGCCAGAAAGCTGGACAGCGCCTATAACGAATTCCACAGAAGCTGCTAGAATTAAAACGAACAAGAAACGTGTAGAGCACCTTCCTTGCAAATGCTCAGCTTTAATAAAGAGCATGAATACCACACCAGCAGCATATGAGTTCACTTCGTTGGAAGATTGCCAGTAGACAATGTCAGATGACTAGGCAGCATACAAAGAGCAACATTTTTAGGAACAATTAGGACACTGAAATTCCATCAGCAGCTCTAAGTGATATTTTCAATTTGATTCGCATTGATTTACACCTAAAATAAATCGTGGCCTATTCCGGAATTAGAACTCAAAGAGTCGAACCTGTAAAGAATTAAACCATTTAGACAAAGCCTCAGCCAATT